GAGTGGTAGTATACTTGCCTAACATGAATGAGGCTCTGACTTCAATCCCCAGTACTGCAAAGGAAAAAATCCAAACTATGATTCAACCGGTCAGCTGCCTCATTGCTCCAGTGGCAGCTGGGATCTAACTAAGGAGGAGGTAAATAGGGGTTTCCTTCTGCCTTCTGCTCAGAAAATGTGATAAAGGCAGGCAGTGAGTAACAGCTGGATTACTATGGAACTTTAGATTTGGTCTTTCATTTTCTTAGAAAAAAAAAAAAAAAATATATATATATATATATATTTGTAGTTTTTTGTTTTTTTGAGACAGGGTCTCGTTCTGCAGTTCAGGCTGGTCTTGAGCTCACTTTGTAGCCCAGGATGGTCTCAAACTTGCAACGATCCTCCTGCTTCAGCTCCTGAGTGCTGGGATTACAGGCATGCGCTACCATGCCCCGCTTTTTTTTTTTTTTTTGGGGATATGGTCTTGCTATGTAGTTCAGGCTGGCCTCAAACTCACAGCAATCCTCCTGTTTCAGCCTCCTGAGCGCTGGCATTACATCATGCTCAGCTTGGTTTTTTTATTTTCTAGTTCTTTGTTAAAGCTTCTTGATGTTTTGTTCTGTGGTGCTGGGGATCGAACTCAGGGCCTTGTGCACGCAAGGCAAGAGCTTTACCACTGAGCCATATCCCCAGCCCTTCTTCGTGTTTTTGGAGCCTCAGTTTTCTTTTGCTTTGAGATGGGAGTCTCACTATTTGCCCAGCCCAAACTTGAATTCATGGACTGGAGACCCTCCCACACCAGCCTCTGAGGTGCTGGAACAGGTGCATACCACTGCATCTAGCTGAGTCTGTTTTTTTTTTAAATTTATAAAATAGAAATTATGTCACCTAATTGAACAGTTGTGATCAGAACAGAATGAAATACAAGAAGGTTAACTTGTCTGTAACATACAGACACTGAATAAGGACCATTTGCTGGTCATAACAGGATTGTACAACACATGTCACAGCCTGCTGCTGCGGTGTGTGACCTCCAGCATTTCAGGACTGCTGCCAGGGCTTCAAAGGCAGGGCCAGGAGGCCTGTCAATTTCTGTTAGCTGTCTGAGAATGAGCTCACCTGGCAGTCAGAGCTGGGGGAGTAGGAGGGGCATTGCTTGTGTGGGAGTTCTAGATACCATCTGTGGCTGAAGGCTGTTTCTAAAACTCCTCATGTGATTTCACCCAGGAATACCTAAGTGGATGGATGCCCTGCCCTTGCTCTACGGTGGAGCCAGCTATGCCCTGACTGCCCAACTACAGACCTACTCCCTCAGTGGGATCGGTGCCCTGACCACCTGTAGCCTCTTCATTCTCAGGGATTCCTTGGCCTCAACCAATAGTGATATTTCTGTTCTCAAAGAGAAGACAATTACATCATCAAGCTAGGACTAGTAAAAAGCCAGAGAAGTGCCAGCCCAAAATTAAAGAGGCCTTCATTGTCAGTGCAGGGTGGCTTAAAAATAACAGTGCCTCCTTAAATGTTGTACCTGGGTTTGTCCCAGGGGCTTGGTTCTGATCGTAAGGACTTGGTCTACCACTGGCCCATCATCACTTGCAGGCTCAATCGCCCCAGCATTTGTCTCACACAAGCATGTGGCCCTGTGTCTTGTTCTCAGGTTCCTAAGGTGGCTGTTGGGAGTGGAGTACCACAGCTGGCCCTACAGGGGAAGGGAGGCATAGGATTGGGCCTGGCTACTTTTAGAAGATCCACCAGGACATAGTGAATAAATTTGAAAACATCAATTATGAAGCATAAGTTCACTTTTTAAGAAAAATTTAAATTGAAAAATTTACCTGTACTCTCACCTACCAGAGATAACCAAGACTATTTTTCACGTTTCCTTTCAATCTTTCAATTCTTTCAATTCTTTCAATCTTTCAATCCTTTCAATTCTTCCTTTCAATCTGAAGAATAAATAGAATGACCTTGTACCAAATTGGGATCCAGGCTGGGCATGGTGGCACACCTGTAATCTCAACACTTGGGAGACTAAGGCGGGAGAAAGCCCTGAGTTCGAAGCCAGCCTGGGCTATCCCATGAGTTCAAGGTCAGCCTGAACTACACAGCAAGATGCTGTATCAAAAAAACCAAAACAAGACAGAAAAACAAACCAAACCAAAATACTATCACATACAATATCGCCCCAGCCCCCCAAATTGGGATTCACTGTCCCTGGGACCTGAGCCTAACTTTTTCACTTGTGTCTGGGCATTTTTCCTGTGTAAAACCCACTGAGGGTCCTGCAACTCTCCAGATTTGTCCTCTGTCCAGCAAGGGCCCAGCAAGAACCTAATTTGGTGGACTGAGGGGATACTGCATAAAGGAGAGAAAGCCAAGGCAGAGAGATGGCTCTGAGTACAGAATCCAGTGGCGCATTCAGGACAAAGTGTTGAAAAGTTCATTAAGAGAGGGCCATTCATGTCCATACTCATATGCTAACCTTGTGGACCCTAACCTTTGCTCACCAAATTTCCTCCCCAGGGCAAATATAACTGCACTATCCTCCAGGATCTGTCTGGATCTTTTGAGGCCCTTTCTGTTTGGGTAAGGCATGTGCAACTGAATGAAAGCTTAGAGTTGGGGAACTAACACCATAAGGATAGAATAGCTGCCATAACCCCTACCACATGAGCTCTCTGGGTGGTGACCTATTATGTAGCCCAGTAGTAGGACTGCCAGTTCAAAGATAGTCAGGCTCAGTAAAGGGTTTCTGGCTCAGGAGTTCTTCCCTAGGTATTCAACCTTGAGAATTAGTTATTATTTTTCCTCAAACAGGAGGGTGTTTTTTGACAGGAGGGTGCGAAGACTTCAGCGCCAAGGAGAACATACCCTAAAGGCTTCCAAGGCCTCTCAGGGGTGGGGTCATGGACAGTGAATCTACGGGAAGATCCATGCTGGGACTCTGCTGACAGAGCCATAGGACTGGTGTGGGCACCTTCGAAGCTGAGGGCTTCTCCCTTCTCTGGGCCAGGCAGCCAGGTCCATGGAACTCTACAGGGCATGCCCAGCCTGGACAACAGTTTCCTTCCAGTTGTTGGCCAGAGTTTAATTTCTATACTCATTGTAATACCAGTCCCTTAACCTTGTGTCCTGCACCAACTACAGACAAAATCACAGCTGCTTAATACAGACCAGGGAGGACCAAATGCTTGAGTTCAGTCAGCTCTCTGTCCCTCCCTGGGGAAAAGACATCAACAGGGCTAAGGCAGCGCGCCCTGTGAATGAGGCTGGGTGCAGGCCTGGAAAGATTCTCTTCCCACTCAATGGCCCTCCGCAGAACACCTTGTAGGTCCTGGAAGCATGCACACTGGTGCATTATCCCCATACCTCACAATCTAGAAGCAGAAACAGCAGGCATATTATCAGACAGGATGGCCCTTCCCTGTAGAACTACACTCAGAATATTTCAGAGGATCTCTGATGCTCCTCCCCCACTTGAATAAGGGCTGCCCCTGTGTGCTATAATGAACAAGGTAGAGGTAGAAGTAAGAACAAAAGAGGACACAAAAGTGGGGTCATTTTTCTCTGGCTAGGAAATTTTGAGCAAATTGAAGACGACCTTTGGGAAAAGACACTGCTACTTTTTCGTCGGGGGAGGAGAAGGCTGACAAAGAAGAGGTACCAGGAGAAAAACTTTCTAGTCCTTTTTTATTTCCAAACATTCTCCAAGAAGTGAAGGGGTTCAGTAAACAGACCAGACAATTGAGGTAGAACGCTTGGCCTCCTCCAGCCTTTATTCCTGAACACTTAAGAGACTGGGTGTGTGGGAAGGGGTGCTCGGCAGAGCCTGAAAAGCCCCAAGTTTTGGGGTCAAGCAGGTTTGGTAGCACCTGCCACGGTCCCACTAAAAGCTCCCTCTGAATCAGCAAGGCCTGTCTTCAGGCCACGATTTTCCAGCCCTGGGTTCTGGCCCTCACTGGACAAGACGTCATAGCAGGACACTCACTGGTCTCCAACTCCAGGCAGACGTGGAGTCACCTCTGTAAGCCCCAAAGACGGGTTAAGAACACCATTAAAATGTACATATCAGCCTGCCAAGACTAACATTTGCAGATCATGAACTTCAAGCCATGTCTCACTTTTTTTTTTTTTTTTTTTTTCCGCTACTACAGGGTCTGCTTCGTACACACCTCGCTACCAGGCAACTGAAGAGGCCCCTACGCCACCCCACTAGACCGAAACGAAGCGTTTAGACAACTGACAGTCTGGTAAGAGCTCGGACTTCGCGACTTTCCCGTAGCTCCCACTGCCCTCCTGCCCACTAGACACACCCTCCTATCCCCGAAGGCCCTCATCTTCCTCCGGACGATTGCCCACAAGTCGGCAGGGGGCACAGCCCCCAAAGACCAAAGAACTTGTAGCCTCATCCTGTGCTTCCCGACCGACTCGGCCTGCGCGGCCCTGGGGGCGGGGCGACTTTCCCGGGGGACAACTGCGACCGCTCAAGGTGCGGAGGGCCGGCCCGGCAGGCCGCGGCTCCCTGCAGCCCGGGGCCCCTCCCGACAGGCCTCCCCGGCCCGCGCTCCAGCTTTTGTGCAGCCCGGCCCGTGGCGGCCCTTACCGGGCTCCAGCAGATGAGCGCGTCGGTGTCTGGATCGCTCACGAGGGTCCACAGCTTGGTCAGGAAGGCTGGAACGTTGCTGGGCCCCGCCGCGCCGGCGCCCAAGGGCAGATCCATCTCGGGCGAGAAGGCAGAGGGGACGGCCGCGAAGAGGGGCCGAGGATCGGGCTAGTGCCGCTGCCGCGATTGCGGCCCGGGTCGCGCAGATGCTCGTTGCGCACACACGGCCCCTAAGCCTCGCATGGCAGCCGCCATCTTGCGAGCGGGCACGCTCCCGTAGGTGCCCCGCCCGCGCGCGCTCGCTTGCGCAGGCGCCTTGGCCCGCGCCTTTGCCGTCCTCGCTCCCGTGTGGGCCCCTGCGCCGCGCGCCTGCGCAGGGCTGCCCCGCCCCCACAACTCACCAATCAGACTCGGGATGGGCAGGGCCAGGATGGGCAGAGCCGGGCCGCGGGTGCTAGCGGCGCGCTCACTGCCGGAAGTAGCAGTCAGTCGGGGGCCGGTGCGGCATAGCATGGCGGGGGCGCGGGACCTGGGTCTCGTGGCGCCCGTGGCGAGAGGTCTGTCAGCCAAGCGACGTCCGGCGTTTGAGCCAGAGCCAGAGCCAGAGAAGGTGACTGTGGGCAGTGGGCCCGCCCGCCGCGGGTTCGGCGAGCACGTGGCAGACGGGTCGGGAGGCCTGCGGGGTGGTGAGCGCGGCGCTGGGTGTCCTGCAAGCCAGGCCGCCGCTAGTCTTGTCGGGTGTTTTGGGAGCCAGGTCCACGAGCTCGTTCTTCTGGGTGTACTGGGAGCGCAGTCTGCTCTGGGCTCCCAGGCCCAAACAGTTCTGTGCCTTGAAGAACCGCGTCAGGGGAGGCCAAGGAGCGGGTAGGGTTCCAGCCTGCACAGTCCGTTAAGTGACGGCCCCATGGGCACACCCTTGTCAGTGCTATCGTGCTAGTGTGCTAGATATGTACGGGAATGCTAAAGGCATACGAGTGTGGACTTTTGCATAGACCCAGTGCCCACTGTAATAGTTGTGACAAACTGCCTCGTCCCTTCTACCCCGCTGGCTTGACTTGGTTGGGACTCCACCAGATCTGAGTGGTGCAAGGCGTACACCGCCTACTCTCTCACAGCCACTCTCTTGGCCAGCCGTTTGTTTTGTGAAATGTAGCAAAGCTGCTTCCCACTGCTTGTTTGTAGTCCAAGAACCAGCAGGCAGCTAGATCTGGGTAGAAGCTGCTTGGGAGTGAGTTCTGCCTCAATCATTCCCACCGTTTTTACTTACTACTGCAGAGGTTGCTAGCTGAATATTGGGGATACATCATGAGTGAGTGTATTTGAGTCTCTTCTGTGGAAACTCAGGTGAATGCTTTGGATTAGTGGGTAATGCAGGCCATCCAGTAAGGTGAAACTTATAAACTTGGAAACAGTGAAATCGGCAATTCTGCCCTTTTATGCTTCCTGAGGATCTTAAGTTGTACCATTTTTCAGAAGCTGGTGACAAGACCTATCCATAGTAGTTTGGGTGCCATGTAGAATTAGGTCTGAAAGCTGGGCGTGGTGGCGCATGCCTGTAATCCCAGCACTCGGGAGGCTGAGGCAGGAGGATTGTTGCGATTTCAAGACCAGCCTAGGCTACAAAGTGAGTCCAAGGCCAGCCTGAACTGCATAGTGAGACTCTGTCTCAAAAAGACAAAAAACAAAAACAAGAATTACGCCTGGGAGCCCAGTGATGGCTCTGCTCCCAGAAGAGAACAAATGAGTTTAGCTTGTTTACAAGTAAAGTTCACGGTGTCATTACTCCTTAGCCAACTTTCCATTTTTCTTACTAACTGTGGGACACAGTGGATATGGATATGGATATCCAGTCTCCTTGGATATGGAAGCTTCCATTTCAGGTGGTAAAAGCCGTTTAGGGACTTTGGGTCTCTCTGCATCCCTAGCCCCTTGCCTACATAGTGAGTGCCCTTTCAGCTCTGCGAGTCTTGAGTGCCGGGGTGGAGTGTGGAGTTTTTCTGTCAGTAGATGAAAGTTAGGTTTGGCAGTGCAGTGGGAGCTGAGCCCTGAGAAGGAGATGTTGTCACTGAAAAGTCACTCCCTTGTGAGACACTAGGGTTTAAAGTGTTTGTTCTGAGGGTAGGCAGCCCTGCTGTCAACAGAGGCAGAAGACAGGTTGGACAGGTGGCTTTGGTGGGGGTGGAGGCTTAAAGAGGCAGGCTATACAATGCGTCTGGCCAGTTGCACCTTCCATAGTGTGTGTGGTACCTGCCTGGGTAAGCCTACAGGTTGGCAGTTATCAACTCTATGCTTTCTTGCAGCCCTTTCTCCTCCGCGACCCTGCTTCCAGCCATGGTGATGGCAGTGATTCTGGCGTCTCTGACAGTGAGGAAAGTGTGTTCTCAGGCCTGGAAGACTCTGGCAGTGATAGTAGTGAAGACAACGACGATGGGGGAGAGGATGACATCAGCTGTGACAAGGGCCACAGCAGGACAGAGGGGCAGGCACAGGTGGGTGATGGAGATGTTCCTGTGGCTCTCCTTGTGGATGAGGGCACTTGCTGGGCCAAGGCAGTCTGAGAGCTGTAACCACCCTGTCTTCTCCATGGTTCCACTGGGGAAGCCCAAGTCTTGTCCCTCTGTTGCTGCCGCTGAGAGTACATTTAAGCTCTGGGCCACTGGTTTTTATTTTTTGTTTACTTATTTGTATTTTTTGTACCAGGAATTGAACTCATGACTTCACTCTTGCCAGGCAGGCACTGTGCCACTGAACTAAATCCCTGGTTGGACCCCTGGGTTTTAGTTCCAGTTGTTTGTGCTGTTATTGAGAACTGTGAAAATCCACATGCTGAGGCCTTTCCTCCTCAAATAGTTCTCAGGCTATCTCTCTGTGGGACACCAAGCAGACTTTCCTGGATTTGCTATCAGCTGGCTTTCTAGGAGCAGAACCCAACAGGGATGCTGCCTGGGGTTCTGCCTGGGGCTCTGGCTGTGCGGGAGTATGCTGAGTAGTTGGGCAGGGTCTGCTGTGGTCCAGTCTGTCTGGCCCATGGGTTGCTGTAGTGATGGAGAACGGTGTTCCCTGCTCATCTTAAGAAAAGTGGGAGAAATGCTTGATTCGACCAAAATACAACAATTGTTATTTAAAACATTCTGAAAAGTTTCTGATGATTTCTGTTTCCAATGGCTGCCAGGGATATAGTTCAGTGGCACACATGCCTGCCTGGTAAGCGCAAGGTCCTGAGTTCAATTTCCGGTGCAAAAAAAAAAAAAAAAAAAAAAAATCCAATTGCCTTGTTCTGAAAGTCACAATTTAGGCTGTTAAAGTCCGCTGCCATAAGGGAATCCAAAAAGCCAGGGCCTATTTGCGTTGGTTCCTTGGGTTGGCTTGTTTACTAGAAAGGACTGATTTGAAATCAGATTTAACTCCACTGCTCATTCAAGCTATAATTTTAACACTGGTGTGCACAGAATGAAAATGACTTTTTAACTGAGCTTTGATCATGATTTGTAAGCTCATGGGCAACTATCTACCCCACTTTAAGTTTTCAAAGTTATAAAAATAGACCTTCCGGATATCGCATCAGTGCTATTCAGTGGTCTTGCTATGAGTGGATAAACAGTTAATAGTTCAGTTAATAGTTTAATGGATCTCTTTCTAGACCTTTCTCCCATTCAAAAATTTATGGTCTTAGCCTGGTGTGGTGGCGCACGCCTGTAATCCTAGCTCTCAGGAGGCTTGGAGGCTGAGGCAGGAAGATCGTTGCTGAGTTTGAGACCAGCCTGGGCTACAAAGTGAGCTCACGGCCAGCCTGAACTGCATAGTGAGACCCTGTCTCAAAAAGACAAAAAAAGTTTATGGTCCATATATTTAAGTACTTCACATTTTCTTTTTATATAAAATGTTTGAAATAACTTATATAGATATTTGTCTCAGGCCTTGGTGTGTCCCTGGGGACTCTGGTGCCACCAGAACTCTGGGTCTGACTAGAAGCAGTGCTTAGCCACTCTAAGCTGCTGCCTATGTCAGCACCCCACCAGGATTCCTGTAACACTGGATGTCTGCTCCATTGTATGGCAGTGCCCCTCCCCGCTAAAAGTGCCCCTGTCTCTCTGCCTTGGGCCTATCATCTACTGTTGCAGACTAGGGACAGCCAACAGCCACTCTGCTGGGTTTGGAGTTGCCAGGCTTAGACCAGGTGAAGATCGAGGGGAGAGGCCACCCTCAGGGTTCCGCTGCCACCCAGCTGTGTGACCTGGCCTGCTGGGTACTTGTGCATCTTTTCTGTGCCCTGGTTTTGAGGTATACTCAGGCCCTGTTGGAACATTTTCGGTGCTGACCCTCACTTCGGGACTTGAATCCCTTTAGGCCAGTAAAGTGAATAGAAGAGGTGGGGAGTGCTGTCCATGCCTCATTGGACAGCACATTGGAAATTGCTCACATTTTTTCACTGTTCCACAAAAGCCTCCTGTATACCTCCACTTTGCTGCGCTGTTTCCCTCTTCCTGTCCCTTTGCCTTTGTCTGTATGCTATGAGTCCTTTTTCCTTGAGCAGCCCTGGAGGGAAAGGCTTAACCTGTGGGCCAGCACTGCCAATACAGTGTCCTTGGCTTTCCATGAGCAAGGCCTTTTGAGGTATCCTAGGTGCCCCCTGTGGTGTCATGCCTCGAATTGGTACCTCAGCCTGTGGCTCCCAGGCATCCCCAGAGGGTGCTCATTCCTGTACCCTTCCTACGTGTCAGGAGGGGTTCCACTGGGTTGGGCTACACTCCGGGCTTTCTAGCCTGCTTTCACCCCCTGTAGCAGCAAGTTGTTACATGTCACACGGTGTGTTACATGTCACACGGTGCCCCACATGGTCCCCACTGGGTGTGCTTTCTCCACCCCAAGAATTTCTGTTGAGCAGGGTCTAGAATTTCTGTTCCGCATCCCTGAAAGCTGTGGGAATACATGTAAGTCAGAGCCTTTGCTGCTCTCTGTCAAGAATCCCAGCTCTTTAATGGAAACTCAGGATCCTGGGTACCTGATACGTTTCACATGTTTCATGTGAGCCTTTGTAAGTAATATCTGCCTGGGAACCCACTGCAGAATGAGGTGACTTCTGTGACAGGGGAAGCAGCCCTACTTTGCCTCTTTCCTAGTGCTTTCCCAAAACTCAGTTGGCTGCCTTGATCCCAGAAGCACCTCTTCTGTCCTTGGTTGGATTCATTGTGCATTTGTCCTCATATAGACCTGTGCTTAGCAGGAAAATTCAGCTCAGCCTTGTTGCTATTTTGGTTTGAGTCACATGGGACCAGGAGCCTTTTGATGGTTTTGTTGGTTACCTACCACTTGTAACAGGTTACTCCAAACCTTAGTGTTACCCCACAGGCCTTCACTCCTACCTCTTGCTGGGAGTCTTGTGCCCTGGCACCTAGGAGGTGCAGTTGGGGTACAGTAGATTTCAGGCTTGCTGTTTCAGGCCCTGCTTCTGGCTGTTGGTAGAGGAATTCAGATGAGGAAGGCACTGTATCTGGCCTCCAGAGGAGGGCAGGTGCAGGTCTCCCCTCTCCCTCCCTGGAGGAGTTGGGCTCATCACAGGGTCTATGTTCACAGCTGGATAGTGGCTGTAAGTGGCACCCTGCCTGCAAGTAGTGGATTTGGATGTTAATATTGTTTATGTGCAATTTCCAGGCGAGGGAGCCTTTTCCTTGTGCTTCTTGCTACAGTGATGTCACTTTCACTGTTAGCTTGGTCCTGTCGTCCCTGTGCAGGCCTGGCCCTTGTCAGTGGCTAAACCCTTTGCCTCCCCACCCGGAACCCACTCCTATCTCTAGGTCCCCTCAGGCCTAGCAATCCTACCTTTGTACGTGTTCCTCAGCATGCTGGGGACTTGCTTCCTGTCTCACGGGTCAGTCTCCTGGTCCCCAAGGCATTCTCCTGCCCCATCCTTTAGCCCCTGACTGTTGATGAGCCTGTCCCAGCTGAGGGGGAGCTGTGGGCTGCCTGCGCATGGGGTGTGATGCGTCTACTGACCCCTGTTCAGCAGTTTGGTTCCCAGTGCTCCCAGGTGGAAGACTCCCCCACCTCCAGCCATTGCATTTACTTGTCCATCTGGGCTAGGTCTGCTCCCTCCACAGCAGCACAAGTAGGAAGGTTAGCAGGCTTTTCGAGGCTCGTGGGAAAGATGACTTATATCAACGTGCTTTTCTCTCTCTTTTTTTTGTTTTAAGCCCAGGGCTTTGTGAATTCCGAGCAAGCACTGTATCACTGAAGCACACTAACCTGTGCCTTATTATTGCTGGTATTGAGTTTTTGTGAGCTCACAGCCTTTTCTTCCTTTTTGTGCTTATTTCAACCTCTTTTTTTTTGTTCTGCTTGTGTTTGGCTTTTTTTTTGTTTATGTTGCTTGTCACATTCAAGAATATAAGAAAAGGCTGAGGTTGGGGATATAGCTCAGTGGCATAAGTGCCTGCCTGGCAAGTGTAAGGTCGTAAGTTCTATCCCCAGTACTGCCAAAAAAAAAAAAAAAGGCTGAGCTAGGAGGATCGCCATGAGTTCAAGGCCAGCCTGGGCAATATAGTGAGTTCAAGGACAGTCTACACTACAGAGTGAGAGCCTGTCTCAAAAAAAAACTAAACAAAACAAAAAGAATATCAGAAAAAGCCTAGTTAATAATCCCAGTGTACAAGAAGCATTTTCCTTGCCTGTGTTGGTGGCGCATGCCTATAACCCCAGCACTTGAGAGGCTGAGTCATGAGTTTGAGGTCAGTCTGGACTCCATAGTGAGGTCAAGGCCAGCCTAAACTACATAGATTCTGTCATCTCTGTAGTTCCTGCCCTCTGCAAGCATTTGTCCCTGCATGGTGTTTAATACCAGCTCATGCTGGGCATGGTGGTGCATGCCTGTAATCCCAGCATTTGGGAACCTAAGGCAGGAGGATTGCTGTGAGTTTGAGGTCAGTCTGGGCTACATAGTGAGTTCAAGGACAACCTACACTGCATAGTGAGAACCTGTCTCAAAAAAAAAAAGAAAGCTGGGCTTGGTGATGCATGCCTATAATTTTACCATTTGGGAAGTTGAAGCAGAAGGATTGTTGTAAGTTTGAGACCAGCTTGAGCTACAAAGTGAGCTAAAGGCCAGCCTGAATTATATAGTGAGACCCTGTCTCAAAAAGACAAAAAACAGTTGCAGGCAGGAGGGTCCCACAGGGGTGTCGGTGTAGCTTAGGAAAGTGGTGGGTGGGAGCTGCCAGATCTCTGAAGGCTCTGGGGGTTAGGTGTCCCCATCCTCTGGTAGATTGCTCTGGGCTGGGGAGAGGTACCTATGATGTGCCCAGTTAGTCATGGAGCCCCAAAGCCTAGGTGGCCTGGTGTGTGCCACAGGGTTATGGTGGAGCCGTGCACTTAGGCTGGGGGGTGTGCCCCTCGACACTGCTTGGGCTCATCCTTGGTTTCTCTTGCAGATGCCTGTGTGAGCTTCTCACCCCTGTGACTGTTATTGCATGGCCCTTAGTTCTCGAGGTCAGAGTACAGGCAGGGCACAGTAGGGTCATTGCGTCCCTGCTCATGATGTTGCACTGGGGTGTGAGTGTGGGGTTCCACAGGGTTCTGAAACATTTGCCCCTGGAAGGTAGCCACTCAGATTCTACCCTGTGTTTTGGGGCCCTGGGTGAGAACAGCTGGGGTCTCTTCACTCTTGTCTTGGCTGGCCCTGATGGCTGGTACCTATTGGGCATCCGTCCCTTCTCATAGGAGTCCATTTTCTCCGGGTAGCTTCAGGCAAGTGGCCTCATTCGTTGTGCCTGTGTTGTGTCAGGTTGGGCTGTCTCTCTTTGGTGCGTGAAGCTGCCCCAAGCCCTCCCAGATTTGGGTGGAAGAATGCAGACTCTGCCATTTGATGAGAAGAAAATAAAGATGTGCAGCTGTTTTAAAGTGGTCACAGTCACGTTCCCCCAACATGCACACACTCTCCTCTTCCAGACCCCTCAGGGCCTCACGCCTTGGCTGCATTTGCTGTGGGCCAGCCCTGGGGTCTCATCTCAGTCAGGCCTGGTGGCAGTGGGGTCCTCAGCTCCTCTTCATGGCCACACCGGAACCTTCTCCGTTCAGAATTGGTAGGGAGGGAGGCAGCACTGTCCCCGTGGTCTGGGTTGACCAGGCTTCTGTAGGCTAGCCGCCGCTCTGGGAAGGACCTGGTGGTGTCGGGCCCCTTTTGAGTCACTTTACCCTAAGCCTAAACAAGGGGCATTTGGCATTTTTCATTTCCTGTTGCTTCTGGCCATTTCATTCCCAGCCAGTATGTTTTTAAATGACCATATGGGTTGCTGTGGCACCGGATCATCAGCCTCTTCTTTTGGAGTGCCATAGGTGCAGATCTCTCTGATACCACTCTTCTCTGCGGTGGCTTCCTGGCCACTGATGTAGCGGGGAGGGGTTCCTGGGGTGCCTGTGTTGTCCATTGTATGGGCTGCTTTCTTTTGGTTGCTCTGTGATAGGGTCTTCGTTAATGGCAACACTCTAGGTTTGATCTTTGCCCTGAGGTATTATGGACAGCTGTATGGTCTGCCCTGGCTTCCCTCTGACCTCAGAATGTGGTGGCAGTGTCTTTCTCCTGCCTTCCAAGACCTGGACACTGTCTGCCTCCCATTTGGCAGTGGCTGTGGAGTTAGGCCAGAGCTGAGGTAGGTTGGTCATTATGGCAGTAAGAAACTTACTCATTTGGATGTCACTCTTCTTTCAGGGTCCCCTCAGAGTCCTCGCTTTGTTCCGTGCAGTGCCTGCTAGCACTGTACTGCTCAGACATATGTTTGTTCCGCTGAGGCCTGGCAGCCATCTAGTGCCCAGGATGGGAACTGCCTTCCCTGGGCTCTCACTGGTACTGGCCCTGCTTCTTCTATACTCCTTTGAGTCTCTGCCACCAGCTTCTTTGTGAGTGCCTCTTCTCTAGCATCTGTGCAGCCTCCCTCTTCTTGGTGGTCAGCACAGTTTTCTGTGCTCCTGGATGTTGTTTTGGACTCTCCTTGCCCTGCCTCTGGCTGCTGGGCCTCTTTGCCAGACACCTGCAGCTCCTGACTTGGGGTGGCTCCTTGCTCACTGGTCAGTCCTTCACTCTTTTTTTTTTTTTCTTTTGAGACAGGGTCTTGCTATGCAGTTCAGGCTGGCTTTGAGCTCACTTTGTAGCTGAGACTAGTCTTGAACTCGCAGCGATCCTCCTGCCTCAGCCTCCCAAGTGCTGGGATTACAGGCATGCGCCACCATGCTCGTCAGTCATTCAGTCTTTTTTTTTTTCTTGAGCCACGGTTTCACTATGCAGTTCAGGCTGGCCTCAAACTCACAGCAGTCCTGCCTCAAGCTCCCTAGTGCTGGGATTAAAGGTGTGTGTCACCATGCCCAGCTAGTCCTTCGGTTTTGCTCTGCCTCTGTGCAGACTTCATACCTTGCTGCCCTGCAGTCCCTCTGGGCTTCTACCTACCCACACCCTGCCCCTACCCGCTGCTTGGCCTCTGGTTGGGCTGTGAGTCACCAGCTGTGTTTTGAGGCTATGTGCTACTGTACCCTCTAGGTGGTGCCTGGGTGGGATTCTGGACCTGAGATGCAGTCCCTCACCAGGGGCACCAAAATTCACATCCCTTTGTGTCCCTTCTGACTAGCTTAGACCTGGATTCACACCTTGCCTGTGGACTCCTTCAGGGCAGCTCCAGGTAGGAGTGACTCTGTCCTCAGGCAGGCACTGGCTGCCTGTATCTGCTGGCTGCCTGGTTCTGGGCAGACCTTACCACCTGGTGTGGATAACAGCCGAGCTGTGAGGATCCTTTGTCCCAGAGACAGACTGCTGTGAGCAGGTCACACAGTTCTCTTGTCACATTCTCTCGGTCTGTGTTTTAGTAGTCTTCTTAATTTTTAAATAATGAAAAGAGATGCTCAATGCCTACAAAAATGGAAGGGGCGAGGCTTTTTCCTGGGTCTACCAGCGCCCCTGTTCCTGTGGCCCCTTGCCTCTGCCCCTGCTCCCGTCTACACTTAGTGTTGGTGCTGCCCTCTCGTGGAAGCTGGCTGCCCTGCAGCCATCGAGTAGAGCGTTGAGATGCTGCTGTGTGGAACGCGGAGTGCCCACAGAGAGCACATTTGTAGGGAAACAAAGCCCTGCCAGTGGGACACCTCTCCACCTTATCAAGGGCCTGCCTGTGTCTGGCTCCGTCAGTGCCCCTGCACTGCTGCGCTGGTGGCCCAGCTGTGCTCGGTGCAGGAACAGTGGGAACACAGCTGGATCACAAGCCTGCAGGCACTGTAGGTGAAACTCCTGGTTCATGGTCTGGCAAGGAAGGTCGTCCTGCTGGGCCATGGGGAGGGAGTTTGAGATGTCAGGGGCCTGGCCTGAGGCCAGGACTACAAATACTGGGTGTCATCCTGTCGTTCTGTCCTGCTCAGCCTGGCCCAGGGCTGCGGCAGGTGGGCTGTTACAGGGGGTGGGGACTCCTCTGAGTGTGTGGTCTCTGTTCTGAGCTTGTGTGTGTGTGTTGGGGGCAGTGTTTCTTGGGCTGGGGCAGGAGCTTGGGGCTCGCTTAACCTGTGCCCTGTGCCCGCGGTGGCTGACCCACTTTCGGCGGACAGCAGAAGGAGCTAGGGGTGGGGAGATGTGGAAACTGGATCCTGCCTTGTTCCTGGCCTGGAAAAAAACTTAGTCTCCCATCCCTCTTTATATTGAGGGAAAAAACAGGCAAGAGGAAGAGCTAGGCCTTTGGCTCCTGCCCGGGCAGGAGGGAGTGAGGCTGTGGGTGGGGGGCGCCCGCGCACAGGGGTTCCTGCTTGGAGCACTTTACTGCCCCCAAGGGTGAGAGGTGGGCCTGTTTTCCCCATCAGTCCTGGTTCTGCCAGTAAACCCGATCTGGTCGGAGCCCTCCGCCTTCCCAGTCAGGAGAATCTGTTTTCCAGGTTGGGGTGTGAGTCCTCTGTGGCGCCCACACTCTGACCCAGGGGACAGGGTCAGCCTGGGGTCATGGAGCTGGTGGATAGGGAGGGTGACCCAGGGGCCAGTGACAGAGCTGAGGCTCTAGGCAGTCATCGGGGAGGGATTCTGGACACCTCTGAGCCCTTGGGTGGCTGGGCTTGGCTGCACGAGACTCATAGTACCTCCAGGCTCTGGCCGGTCTCCTGGGGACAGGAGTCTTGCTCTGAGGAGTGGGCCCGTCGGCCCTGTGACAAAAGCCAGTGATGTGTACCACTGTGCCTCCCCCAGGTGTTGTCCCCCATGATGGGACTGTCCCTCCTCTGCCCTACCTTGTCATCCCTGACCCAGGTCAGGGCAGCTGCTGGTTTTTGATGGGAAACGGTGTGGGGCAGATGAGAGTGGGGCTTTGACCCTCATCTTGAGCAGCTTAGCACTGACTGCACTGTGCAGTCTTCTTTCCAGTCTAGCAGCAGGTGTCACCTCCTGTCCGGGCTGCCAGAGGGTGGAGGCTGGCGCAGCCCTCAGGGGAGAGGACTGGTTGGAGCCCCTGGTGTGAGCACAGCAGTGGAGGCTCACTGTGAGCTGGAGTGGCCTCCATCCTGGGCTGAGACCTGGGATGAGGTTGGAGCTGCTCAGAGATTTGGGTATTGTGAAGTATCCTGGGAGAGCCTGTGGCTTGGGGTCTCATCCTTATGTCATGGGTATCCTTGGTCCTGAATTAACACTGTCCCTTCTCCACAGACTGGCTCCCCTGGCCTGGGAACAGAGATGGTGAGATCATCAAGCCGGGATGAGTACCAGGAAGACAGCTCTGACGAGGAGGTGGGCTTGGGAGCCAGAGTATCCGGAGGGTGGGTAGGTGGGTGGGTGTCCCAGATTGAGCCTTGCCCTGTCTGGAAGAAGGATGCTGGGGCCTGAGACACATGACCATCAGTGCAAGGGTGTCCTTGTCCTGTGAGGGAGGGTGGTTGGACGTGCCCTTCAAGTGCCCTAGGGGCTGTGCCTATGTCAGTGACCTCAGAGGGGCCTGGGGTGGGGAGTGGCAGGCTAGCGCATGATGTCAACAAACTCCGGCTCTCTGTCTGTGGGATGGGCCACAGGAATGGCCATTGTTGAGAGCAGTAGCTCCTGCTTGGCTCCGTCCCGCCTTCTCTGTTGTCCTGGGTGGCGGTGGAGGTGGCTGGGCCACTGCCTTCAGACCTGTGTTTGAGTTCCAGGAACACTTCAGAGCACTAAGAGTTTTTAGTGTTTCTCTTAAGGAGGTTTACAGTGTAAGGGGGATATGTGCTGGGCGAGGGGCGCCATGGGATCCTCTGGGGAGCTGAGGCATAGGGAGGCTCTCTTGGGCTGTGTCCAGGAGGGACTGGAAGTCCTGAAAAGAGCTGAGCTTAGAGTCTGTGGGGCTGGCAGCCTGTCCCTTCACTGGTATGGCCTGGCCACAGGGCAGGGTGGAGGCCCCTACTCGGAGCTGGGTGTGAGCTTGCAGCCTGTCCAGGTCCTGGGGCTTTGGTGTGGTGGGGCTTTTGGGGACAGTCCTCCTCATTTCAGGAGCTCTTCCTGCCTGCCTTTCAGGGGCTGTCCCCAGGGCACAGGGAGACACGCGCCCCCTCCCCAGCCTGCTTCCTCCCCCATTCTTGAGCTCTCTTGGCAGCGTCTGCTGGAGCCTTGGCTGCCCGCCCGATCCCGTCTCTGCTGTGCGTTCAGAGAACAGAGACAAAACAAAATAAATTGGTTTCCTGGCCGGAGCAGCGGGCGCGCTCAGCGAGGGGGGCCGCACAGTGCGGCTCCCCCGCCTGTCTCCCCTCCCCCCCAGGGGCTCTGGCTGTCGGCAGCCACATCCTGTCGGCTACTTTTTTAGATTGGGTATTTTCAGAAATCGATGATGATTGTAGATGGAGTGCGGAGATGGGGGAGGGGACCTCTCAGCTGGTCAGGGGCTAGGGCTGGGCCGGCCCGACCCTGCCTGTCCACAGGGAGGCGTGCCTGGCCGCCTGTCCAGCATCACCTTGAGAGGGTTGGGCAGCCCCCTGCTGTGCCAGGAGGAAGCTGAGAGGGCTGCGGGGGCTGCTTCCTCTGGTGATGACTATCACATGTGTCAGTCTGAGTGACAGTGAAGGAGCAGAGATGCCTGCCCACCTGAGCTTCTGCCAGCACAGTCTGCCAGCAGCTCGAGGGGGCGGCAGAGCTCAGTTTTCAGGAGCCAGGCCAGGCCTGGACAGATGCATCCTCTCCTGAGAAGCCTGTGTGCGTGGGGCTCCTTCCCCACCCAGAGGTTTCATCTGGCATCCACGCCCTCCAACAGAGTCTGTGTCTGAGGGGGCCGCGGGCGGGGGTTAGGAGACAGGCTGGGGACAGAGTGGGACCTGGGCTTCAGCGCCTGGCTGCTCAAGAGGCCTGCCATGGCACAGGCCATCTCTGGGGGAAGAGGGTGCGCGTATGAGGTGCATGTCTCTCCATGGCTGTGCCCGGCCCCTGCTTGGATACCGGGAGCCCACCCCTTCTACTGGCAGCATCCTTTGGGGGGGCATTGGTGCCAGGACCCCAACACTCCTCGTCCAGCCAGGGGTGCCTGGCAGAACCAGCCATATCACAGGGCCTCTAGAGGGCTCTGGACAGGGGGCGGGGAGAGTCCTGAGGGATGCGTCCTGTCGGGAACAGTGACCTTAGCAGGACCTGAGGAGGGCGGCAGCTACATGGTGGGAGGGAGGTCTGCCGAGCTGTCTGCTGCTGGGAGTACAGTGCCATCGGGCCAACCCTCTTCACCTGTTCCTGCCCCCCAGTGGGTCTGGACCCAGGGCTTAGACTGGGGACACGGAAGCTTCTGGGCCCTCTGATACCTGACATCTGGCTTTGGGGTTATCCTCCCTGCGACATGGACTTTCTTAAACTGAGCAGCCTTTTGCTGGGGCACGGATCCTGACTTGGCCTCCCAGTCCCCTCCCCCAGGTTCACAGCCTTGGCTTCCAGTGTGGGCTGAGCAAGGAGGGAGGGAGCCCCCTGGATGAGCTGCTGGGCTGCCCTGGAGTACAGGGAGTCCCCATAGCCACCACACCCCTCCCCACAGCACCCGGGTTTCTTAGACGTGATCTCATCCAGCTATTGGGACCCCTGGGAGGGGACTGGGGGAGAGTGGTGGGCCATCAACCCACTCAGCCCCTCCCCTGTTGTCAGACAACTGGGAGAAACTGAGGCCCAGTCTGGGTCAGGCCGACCAGCTGCTGCCTGCCTTCACCTCACCTGTCCAGCAGGTCTGCAGCCCAGGATGAGGGGCTCAGTGTGGGGCTGTGATCTCTGGCTGAGAGAGGCTGGGAGAACTGCCCTCCCAAATAGTCCCTGGGGCGTTGGGCACGGGGACTTGAGACCTCAGGTACAGGGTGGGCCGAGGTAAGGGTTGGGCTATAACCCTTGGCCAGCTCCTCAGCACCCCAGCTCTGTTTGGGCTGTACCTCAGGATCCCACAGGGACATATCTCAGCTTGTCTACATCCAGAGCCTGCGATCCCCTCTGCTCTCTCGCCAAACACCATTAATGGCTTCTCCTAGCTACTGAACCGGCAGCTGCCTCCAGTGCTGGCGGCCTCCACTCCTCCGGGGCCGCCCCCGCCCGCTCGTGTCCTGGCCACCGCCCCGTGAGCACTCACTGCCTGCCGCTTGCGTTGCTGCTGGCAGCCGGAGCAGTAGGCTCAGGTTTCCATCTAGCAAGCAGTGGCCCTCCTCTCTCTGTTTGTGGAGGGCACCCAAGCTGCAGACCGCTTGGCAGCTGTCCACCCAGGCCAGCCTGTGTGCCTGTCCTGAGTAGGGATCTGGCTGCACTGAACCTTAGTGTCTGGTTCCTCTCTTTCTGTGCTGTGCACAACCTGCTGACCAAGGGCCCTTTCCAGTGGCCACAGGGAATGGATAGTGTGCTCCTTGGGCGGGGAAACCTTCCGTACCGTTCCTCACCGTAGGCCTGTGGTTCCTAAGAGCTGCCCTTTGCATTGAGCATCCTAGCTAGTAGAGAATTGCCCTGAGTGGGGACAGATGGGGCCCAGTGGGAGGGGGCAGAGCCAGCTGCCCCTTACAGGAGCTGGAACACTCTCAATAGCATCCTGGCAGTGGCTGGTAGGCAAAGGTGGGGTTCTTCAGAGCTGCACCCTCTCTTGCTGGGGCATATGGATGGTGTAGCCCTACTTTCCTGCCAGCCCTTGGGGCAGTTGGCTTGGCTGTAAACACCTGGGCGTCTGTCTGGCACTGGCGAGCAAGTCTGTGGCGTGAGGGGGTGGTATTGGAGGGCAGGGGGATACTATGGACACCTCAAGAAATCAGCTGCAGAGGGCTAGGCAGCCTTGCTGGGGACAGGAGTCACAGTTGACGGGGGGGCAGTCCATGTCTGAGGGCAGCACTCAGCTGGGAGAATTCTTTTGAACTAGATTTTGGAAGTGCTTGAGTTGGGGATCAGGAAGGCAGGACTGATTCAGTGTAGAGCCCTGGACCTACCTCCTACCACTACCACCAAATTGACGCAGCAGCTGTGTCTCTGAATAGTGGGGCTCAGAATAGGTCTTTGCTCCTCAGCTCATAGAGATGTAAACCAGCCTGAGCCTGTGTCCCCCATCTGGAGAGGGCGGGGCAAGCTGGACTTAAAAAGCCTTCAGACAGGGGCACCCTCTCCACACCTGTGGACCCTGCAGGAGACTGGGTGGTTGGGTCCACAGGTGCCTGGGGCTCAGTAGTGGGTTCTACCAGGTCCAGAGGGACAGATCTGCAGGAGGGAGGGAGACTGGGGCAGTCTGACCAGGGAGCCAGAAGACAGGTCCTCCTGCCTGGACCCCAGCCCGTGATGGCTTCCCTTGGCCAGCTTGGACTCTTGCAGAAAGGTTGTCTCCCCTCTGGTCTGTCATCCAGGCTGGCTCTAGTGAGGGCTCTGGGCTCAGCATCCCTTGCAACCTTCTGTGGGGTCAGGGCAGCAGGTGAGCCTAGAGCAGCCACTGGCTCAGAGCACTTTGACAGAGATAAGACTCCCCAGGAGGGGAGGTGGCGGCAGCGGCACAGGAAGGCCTCAAGAGTTCTGAGACAGGCGGCTGGGCCGTAGTGCAGGGGGTGCAGGGGGAGCTGAGTGAATGCTGAACACTACTCGCATTGTAATCGGAGAGGGGCTGGGGAGAGAGACTGAGCAGCGGCTGACCCCGCGCTCCCGGGGGACAGGTGGGAGAAGAGAACGAGGAGAGAGTGAAGGATTCCAGAGGTGGGCCGGCTTCCTCTCTCGCAGACAGACACGGGAGGGAGGTGGGCAGTGGGCCAGCTCCATACCTGCAGTTCCAATCTGCGGTCCTGACAGCTGCAGCCACTTTGGGGAGGGGGAGGGGCGAGGGCTCATCGAGAGCGGAAAAGTCCCAGCCGGCACATGGACGCATTGCTGCTGTGTCCGGTGCAATCTGGGGGCTGGGGACTCCTGCCTGTCCTCATCCCACAGGCTTGTCTTGGGGCTCGGTGGCCCCCAGGAAAGCACAGGTCCAAGGTGTCTCTGTGTCTTTGTCCTGTCCAGCCTAGGGTCTCAGAGTGCAGTGCCTGACCTGGAGGGGTCACATGTGTTTCCTGGCAGCCCACAGGTGTTGAGCAGGGCGGGGGTGGCTGGCTTGGGGTGCAGGCGGCCTAGTGATGAATCATGTGGTGCCGCCAGCGGCTCATTCCCCAGGCTGGGGACAGGGAGCTGACAGCTGAGGCTGAGCCCAGCGTTTCCAACCCAGCTTGGCTCACAAGGGCGGCTGCTGGCCCAGGGTGTGGGCCAGGGCCCCCCTTCCCTTCCAGCTGCCTCTGTGGGGCACATGCAGAGGGAGCCCTGGG